ACTTGTACCAGGGTTGTATTTGCAGAAGGCAAACACGTTCATTTGCAGCCTGGCTCATAACTCCCCACCTGTGGGAACATTTTCTCAGTTTGCCTAGCTAACATGTGACTCGGGTAGGTTCACATACAGATTTCACACACATACTTCTTTCATGTACACACAAGTAGGTTCCTGCTTTGAAAAGCTGAATGCATAAAGCATTTGCTGGCAAACAGCTATGCATTAATTTTATTTTTAAATGCCATGATGTGCGTAAAAACCTGGATAGCTTCAAACTAGGAAAAGAAAAATAATGCTTTCATAGTTTTGAAAACAAGCCATAATGCAACCTCCAGATTATGAAGATCTTCAGGCATTCTTGACGTCTTCACAACGCCACCAGCGCCAATGAGTAATGATTGCTGAATTCTGACTTTAAAGCCAACAGGCTCCCTCAACACTGAAGAAGGGGTGGATTGCTCGGGGGGATTAGGCAGGGTGCCAGCCCCCCACCAGCAGTGCCTTTTGCAAGGTGTGACACCGGTCAAGTGAGAGGTCCCACCACCATGCAACAGGGACATCTGCATCTGGGTTGGAGCCTGCTCTGATGCATCCCAGCATGTGCAGACATAGGAGGGGCTGCCATGGGGGAATGAGTAGGGTTAGTTCAGGCATGTTCCTCAGAAAGACTTACTTAACTTTGGCTGCTGCAGTGTTTGGGATTGCTAGAGGAACTGGACTCCCTTCCAGCTCTCTCATTACTTGTCAGGTTTCCAGCACTGGTCTTCCGACACTGGACTTCCTTCCTGTCTAAATCCGTCTGCTGAACTGGTCAGTGTCAGGGTAACAAAACAGGGACGTCATTATCCAGACCTGATTTTGTCTAACCTCCGTCATCTGAAACATGTTCAAGGATCACAACCCTGTTTCCAATTTAAAGGAATTTCGGATGAGCTGGCTTTGAGCTATTGCTGCTATACTGATAATGCAAAAAGGAAGAAAAAAAGCACTAGACAGGTTCAAGCGTCTCCCAAAAGTTCTTCAAAAATTACACCTCTGCTATAGAATAGCACAGACAGTCGTAAAGAAGCCACAGTTATAGAAAGGCTCTCTTGTGTCCTTACCTTCTCCGCCTGGAAGTGGGGTGGGAGCTGTGTTCCCTGCACTGCTGTCTGAGTGGCAAGCTTGCACATGTGGCTTTGCAATGGTTTTGCTGTCAGAAGGCCAGTTTATTTACATAAGACGTGAACGCTGACCTCTTTGCCTGAAAACAGCAGGAAAAACCCCAAGAATAGGCAGTATCCTGACTCTGTCTCCAGTAGCCCCTCTAGTAAAGCCAAGCCTGAAGAACCTCCTCAGCGTCACCCTCACAACCCTTTCTGCATTGCTTTTCCTATATTTTTGTTCTCACGTACACACACAGACCACAAAGTCCTTTCCCTTGCCTGGGCACCCAGGCAGTTCCTCAGACATCACTGCTGCGCTTCTGCCCCGGACGTACTTCGGTGCTCCTTGTCCCAGGAGGCAGTTTCTGTGTTTTCCAAACCCCTCACTTCTTCCAGTTCACTGAATTGCTTCTTCCATTTAGCCCCTTGACTTTAGCTGAGCCCACAGTCCCCCACAGATCAAAGACTTATTCAACAGCAGCTATTAGCATTATCTTGCCTAACAATTTGTTCATACAGCACGAGTGAAAGGGGCCCTAATCTAGTTCAGGCTTTTACATGCTGCTAAAATACAAAAGGTAAAAGATGATTATTTTACTTGTTTGAAAGGGTCCTCTTTTCACAGCAGACCCTTTCAGAAGGGCAAGTGATGGAGAGACTTTTGCTAAGCTTTGTCTGCGCTGGAAGCCTTTCTAGTGACTGGAGAGAGGAGCTTGGAAGTACTGAGTGCTCTGCCCACCCCACCGCACATCCCGGCTTCCTCACAAATAGTCACACTGAACGCTGCAATTGCAGTGTGGGTATTTGCAGACTATGTCTGAAACATCACTGGCAGGAGCTTGTAGCTGAAATTAGGAGTTTGCACTCTGCCATGCACTGGAAACCACTAGGGACCAGCAGCTGACTTTGGAGTAACTGTTCTCTCTGTTGCAAACCTGAGTGTTCAATAGCTGCACACCAGATTAAACACACGTTTCTATCTTCTGTTCCTGCTGCTGCTGCATAAACCTGTATTTCAGAAACTACCCCTGCAGGTGTGATTAGCAGACCTGAGGCAGGGCTGAGGACAGTAATGTTGGCAGGGGTACCAGCGGAGAAGTCTCAAGGCACCTGTTCTTTCTCGTCCTTAGTTCAGCAGCCAGAAGTTGCTCTTGGGGTACACAAAGACTCAGGGTACAGAGACACAATTACGAGCCTGCACTCCTAGGACAGGGAAGCACAGACATCAGGTATCAATCACTCTGTCTCCGGGCAGGGAGAAGACCTGGGAGACTGTTTGCCTTGGGCCTGTGCCTTAGCTTCTCTTACACTATCTTCTTTTTACTTTTATTTTCAAGATTAAAACGTCACTTTTGTTTTCTTACAGCTCCAAGGTGGGGAGGAGGGGGGAGGAGGAGGCAATGAAGACTGCTATAAAGACTTTTTCATACCAGGGACCAATATATCGGATGCTGGCCCTGGGAAACTTTATTATTTACCTCTGCTGGAATGGGAAAGGAAAATAGCTGGAACAAGCACAGCTCTCAGATACACGCAGTGCAATTGTCTATACAAGGCCGTTCCATGGGAACCCCACTGGAGAACCAGACACACTCAGCAAACACGGCCAAGTGCACAGTGTGCCGAAGGAGAAGTGTGAGGCATTAAACATTTCCTTTCCTTTCTCTATTACCTTTTCACAACAGGACAGAAACCATCTGAATATTTTTTCCTTGTAAATGTTCTGGAATGACTTTAAAAAAATACTTAGAGACACATTTCCATTAGCAGCAGCACTGATTCTTTACTAATTCATGGAGAAAAAATATGAAATAATTGGTAAGAGCTGATCCCTTGGGAAACAGAGATGCCTGATTTTATAACTTGGCCTGGTCACTTGGGCTTGGAGCTACACAGGAATGTGAGTGCTACGACAGCCGGCATTGCAACACCTGATTTTTGCATGTGGGCCCTTTCCTCCCCATCCTTCTCTCACCTACCTGAAGCTGCTGGAACTGAACAAGCACACTCATTCACTATGCCTGGCACCTGGGAATGGGATTTAAAAAAACCACCAACACAAACATTGAGGGTGTTGTACATGAGCTACCTAAATTAGCCAGTGAGAAATGCTGGAGAAATGGGTGTGTTACAACCTTGTCTAGGGCTTGGGTGCCTTGTTCAGGTTTAGCGGGACATGCTTCTTTTCACTCTGGATTCACAGCCCTGAAAACTTAATTATAGCTTTTCACCTTGCATTAATTAACATGAGAAATGAAGAGACCTCTCTTCAGTCTGGTTTTTCTCCGCCCACCTGTTATCCTTGAATAACCCATCGCCTGTGGGTTCCCACTCTCCCTAGGCGCAGGGTTGCATTCCTCCTGGGGAGGAGGGACCCGCGCACAGCCTGGGTGAGGCCGCAGGCGAAGGAGGGTTGAGGCCTCCTTCTGCTGTCTTTTGGAGGGTAGGGGATGTGTTTTGTGTCCCCGGTGTGAGGGGCATGGTCTGAGAGACCCTACTAAACCAAGGCAAGCTTGTCCAGGGACGAATCCGTAGGTAGGTCCCAGCCACACTGAGAAGGTGAGTCCCAAGTTGCCCAGCCCACGTTAACCTGGGGCACTTGTGCATACCTGGGAGCAAAACCCTGGTGTCAGAAATGAATGGCATCTCTTGAAAGAGGAGCAGAATGCTGTATTTAGGGACCCACATGACTCACGTGGCCGAAATGAATGGGACTAATAACCTCACTGGCCACCCCAACCTCCCCAAAGCGTTGCTCCCACATACACCAAATGGTCCAGAACTGCTGCAGTTTTCAGCCCAGCTTAGGAAGGAGCCAGAGCTGCTCTGCAAGGAGCAGAAACAAAGGCAGTCCAGGAGGTGCTTGGTATCTGTAGAGTCACATCGCTGTGGAGGAGCACCCCCAGGCCCACTGGTGGCATCTCCAAAACAGCAGTGTGAAAGCTTTGTCCTCTCTGGTGCCTGAGTTGGAGCCTCGAGCCTCTCATCAGGCACCGAATTGCTTCCTAGGAGGAAAGTAGCATGGGAAAAACTGAAAAATGGGCAACGTGGCCTCCGTGGGCCTTAAAAATTTGTGATCAAAGGCAAAGAAACCAGGTTCAAAATGTGCAAAAGTATCCATGACACTCACCACCTTCATCCTACACAGCTGTGAAACAACGTGGATACTACTTTCATACGGTTGAAATTTAACTACCTTCGTGCCACCTTTTAGTTTAAATCTGCTTTATAAGAAAGTCTCTGGGAAAAAGAAAGTTGCATTTTCGTTTACGCTGCTCTGCCGCCGATGTCCTTCACCTCCCTGCCACAGCAGACGGCAGCTGCCGGGGGCTGACACCGCCGCTCCCCGCGGGGCCCCTCCGCGCTAAATGCCATCACACCCCCGGCTCGAAGGGAGCCGCGACGCGGCGGGGGCGTGCTCCCGCGAGGCATCTCTGGGGGGGGGGGGGAGA